GTTTAGCAGACACGCTAGCGAAAACCCCCCTGTTCGCGTGCCTGCTTTATTCTGATTCAAACAACTTGTGCTACCAGATCCCAACCCGGGAATGCAACTGCCGCTTAAAAACAGCCGGATTTAAGGCCTGAAATCAATCTTAACCTACGGGGCAGTATTCCTGCCCTCCTGTTCAGTGTTATGAGACCGAAGAACGCACTTCAGGGAGGGAACTAATTGAGGAGAAGCAAGACAGTTTGGTTACTGTTTGTATAACGCTTGCCTGTCATACAGTTCAGGTAATTTAGTCAAAAGATAGTGGGCAAATGACTCAGGATTGCTTTTTGGATTTATGGTTACCTGTATAACCTCTTCCGATAAATGGGGTGGCTTTCGAAATGGAAAAAATTCGATTATATCGCCATGTTTAAGTCAGTTTATTAAGGGAATGAGGCTTTCGCCCTTGAGTTCCCTATTCAAGTCGATAAACAGAAATAGAATCAATAATTACATCAGCAAATGCGGAAATTCGAAAGTTAGCGGTAAGTGTGGACCAGGCGCAAACTGCCGCCGCTAAAACAATCGTGATTATATGAGCAGTAGTTTCTCAGCAAATGAGCATCTAGTCTACACTTAAAGTATTCGACAGTTTCGGAAAGAACCACCTCATCAGGGAGTCCGTTCCATGCCCCATTGACCCTGTGAGAGAAGGCGTTCCGTCGGACGTCCGAATTAGCCAACTCCCTCTGCAGTTTGAAGGGATGACCACGCAGACGGTCAGTCCGGTCAATTCGAAGAATTCACCAAAGTCTAGGGCGCACTCACGGCCTCTGACAATCCTGTAGGTTTGCATGAGATCTCCGCACAGTTGCCCGTAATTGAGAGGAAACAGATTAAGTTCGGTCAGCCTGGTTTCGTAAGGCAGATGAGGAAGATTCTTTACCATCTTCGTAGCCATCGCCTGTACTCTTTCCAGTTGTTAATAATCTTTCTTTAACCGCGGTCGCCAGGCCTGGACTGCATACTTTAAGTGAGACCGGACGAATGCCCCATAGGTTTTCCCGAAGAGCTCTTTATCGATCTGCACAAATCCTCGCCTTAGCGCAAATAACACTCTTATCGTGTTTGCAATGTGTTTGCTTTAAAATGGACATTTGTCGGATTCGATTTTGATTGTGCCTCACAAAGGTCCCAGTTCTGGCACCTTAAATTTATCATTCATAAGCATCCCTTCCCCAAACGACGCATCATGAAATTTAGAGAGAGAGAGAGAGAGAGAGAGAGAGAGAGAGAGAGAGAGAATGTCGGGGAAATATTTGTTAATCCCAATAGCATTGCGCATTCTTGTCGAAACCGAAGCCAGTAACTCTGCCGAGGCACTCATCTCAACGTCAGACGGGACATTTTTTACAGATGGAACTGAACATTAATATCCTGGGGATTAATTCAGAAGAAGAAGAAGAAGAAGAAGAAGAAGAAGAAGAGGAAGAAGAAGAAGAAGAAGAAGAAGAAGAGGATGAGGAGGAAGAAGAAGAAGAGGAAGAAGAAGAAGGAGAAGAAGAAGAAGAAGATTCGGCCACTGGGATAGTGGACGTATTCGTTAGACGTTTAAAATTTGTGCCCAAACGAATCGTTAGATAATCCGGATACTGTGTAACGTCCAACGTACTTAGGGGGAGGGAGGGGGCAGACTATGAATCACTCGAGTCTGTGTATAGCTTCCGCTTCTTGGTCATAGAATCTGGTCCTTGAGAGTTCGTGCCTAAGGGATCCATCATGCAGGCATTCACGAGCAGACACACGAGTACGTGGTGAGGATTAGACAACAGGTGGAAAATGCAAGCAGTTTACTGAAGTGCGAGAGACAATGTCTAGGAGAATATACATGCTATAAACGAAGTTGGCAGAAACGGGAACGATAAAGAACAATGGAAAAATAGGTAAGATTGCAGTTGGTAGCCAGGCATTATATGTTGATACTTTCGACGTACGTACTTGTTATCAGTAGGTGTGCTTACCATGTCTAGGGAACTGGTTATCAGTAGGTGTGCTATTACTGAGTTAGGCAGGTTGCCCATTTCGATCAGGCTGTCGTGTTTAGTGAGGGTTAGGGCTAGGCGTAGGTTAAGTTTTAGGATTAGGGTTTGCGTTTTAGGGTCAGGTTCCAGTGTTAGGATTAGGGTTTAGGTTCCCGTTATGGTTACGGTTAAGGTTAGGGCTAAGGTTAGGGTTAAGGGTTAGGATGAAGGTTAGGGTTATGGCTAGGTTTTGGGTTAGCGTTGGGGTTTAGGATTTTGATTACGTTTCGGTTTTGCGTCTTAGGGTTTTGCTTTACGTTTGCGCTCATAGTTGGATTATATGTTTAAGCGTTGGGCTTTAATTTCTGCCATTATTCAAACTACTTAAAACGTCCCAGTACTTTTCCTGGTAATTTTACCCAGACACTCCAGCATTCCTCTACCAGCCTCTCCATTTACCCCACCCTTGTAACCCCCTTTTTCACCATTCACGTACGGCTGGGACCTGGATGCCCGCCTCCCCATGTCTGGCTACCAACTGCGATCTAACCGAAAAAATAGTTAAGTGCGACAATATTGGGAAATTGGTAGGTACAACTATATACGACGGACATGGGATGGGAAAACATAGGCGAGTGACGAAATGGTAGAACTGTGTAGGTACACATGTAAACGGAAGCGGATAGGTGGGAAGATATCGAAGGTTGAACTTATCGAGTTGCCGATCGTCGGTGATGGTCCGCACGCTTTCAGGTGTCCCAAACGATCTACAAAAGAGTGATCACCGATTAAAACAAAGGAGTTTCTGTCCGTCAGGTCTGCTGTGGTGTTACAACTGTTGAACCCAGTGTGTATTTATGAGTCACCTGATTATAGACTCAGGCATTATTCCGAAACATCAGAAAATTGCTCTTATCCCCCCACCCCCGTTGGTCGAAGTCCCTTTTCCTTCTTTACTTGCCCACTTTTGGCCAAAGTTCATATCTCAGCAGAATGTTATTACCGACAAAGACAAGGGAGACTGGAATGGCCACTTCCGGCTTATTAGCCGTCGTCAGCCAGTCACACCCAATCCCCAGGGCGTGGAACACCTGGGGCTCGAACTCGCGAGCTGTTGGTTAGAAGTCCAACGCCTCTAACCACTGGGCCACGGGCCCGTTGTCCTGTCTTGTATGACTGGTTGACGACGGCTAATAAGCCAGAAATGGCCATTCCAGTCTCCCTTGTCTTTGTCGTTAATGCTATTCTGCCTATATCATACGCAGCTGTGAGGCTGCTGGCGGGGCTCAAGAGAACGCCCGTAAGGCACAACGGAACGAGTGAGTTCCGTAAGAACGATCGGCGCGCGCCCCTCTACCATGGTTCGTATCTCGATGATTCAGAAATGGTTGCTTATTTGCCAGAGCCTACACTCCGAAAGGTCGTCTTTTTTGAAAGTATCTTCGCAGAACTGCTTTTCGCATTAAAGGCTTCTCAGTGCAGTCAGATTCGCGTGCCACACACGAACCAGACCACAGTAGGAGCGGTTTTTGCCGCACATACTTGCGAGAGCCACACAGGCTACATCCGGAAGGAGCTGTCGCTATCTAGTCCTAAGTCCTGGGAAGTACTGACCTATCCCGTCAGTTGGCAACCCTTCAAGCCACAGCTCTTAGTGTGCTATGCTGGATGCATGCCTACCAAATCTATTATGGAGTGGAATGCGCCAATGCGCCATGAGGGTGGATTCCTCAACGTCAGCCGCACTCTATCCCCCCCCCCGCATCCCCCCGCATCCGAGCCCTTTAACCATCTGGTCCTAGGATTGGGCGCACTGACTGACGCGGGGTGAAGGTCTGCGTTCAAGACCTGTCCCCCACACGCATGCACGACAGTAGTTATGACTTTGAGCGGACCCGGCGCAGTCTGGTAAACGCGTGCTGCGAGCCAGTCTGATCCACACACACTAGATAGCCAACGCCCTAAACAGGTGTGTAAACGGCGGCTGCAATTGTTCTTCCAGCTAGTAAACCCTAATTTTCAATCCGAACTGTCCCTCTGAGCAAATGACTGGAAATTAGCTTGACAGAAGACGTTTGTTGCTCATTACCCGCATGACTTGGTGGCCTGTTCTCATAATGCTCATGAAGGAGAGGACACGATCGCTGGAACAAGATCTCTGTTGGCCTGACATTTCGAATCCTTACCCGAATGCATCATCAGTGACAAAGTCAAACAGTTTTGGTGGATTGCCCAGGTGTTGCAGTATCAAAGGACAATCCGTAAGAACTATCGGTGAGCCCCCCTACCACTGTATATTCCCGATCGAAAACCGACAGGGCAACGGGCTGGTGGCCCGGTGGGTAGAGGCGTGGACTTCTAAACAAACAGGTCGCGAGTTCGAGGCTCGGATGTTCCACACTTCGGGCTTGGATATGACTGGCTGACGACGACCAATAAGCCAGAAATGGCCATTCCAGTCTCCCTTGTCTTTGTCGGTAATACCGTTCTGCCTATATATCATGCGCCGTTGTGCGGCTGCTGGTTGGGCTCGAGAGAGAGAGAGAGAGCCCGTTGGTTTATGGGACAAGATCCTTGTTGGCCTGACTTTTCGGATCCTTACCCGAATACATCAGCAGTGACATATTCAAGTAATGTTGGTGAATTGCCAGGTGTTGTAGCATCGAGCGATAATCTCTCACTCCTCTCGAAATGAGCAGAGGCGCATTCCTTACGGAAAAATCCTCTGGAGGTTAAACACAACACTTGGGTCATCAGTCGCCATCGGAGTCTCACAAACTACCAGTCAAAAAGATGGCCTAAGGAGGGTCAATGAAGAAGCTTAGTTCAGGGACACACAGGTTTTCGTGATAAGAAAAATTCAAGTCAACTATAGGTGCTTGCTTCTAGTTGCGCTGGGGAAAGCGTTGGGTGCAAGACAAAATCTGGCTCAACTCGCTTCGTCAAGATACAGGAGGGGGTTCTTTGACCCTCAGTATTGGGCCTCCGCCGCTGGAAAACAGGGTAGATTGAGCTGTCCATATTCCCTGTCAGGGGTCATCATGACTGAGGAGGTACAGTCCGTCACATTATCGAGGTCAGTTAGATCAGGCATGTTCACAGCCGTGTCAAGCATGTGCATTTCACAAGACTATCCGAACGGATAAGTGTACTGGTCCAAGGTTCAAACGAATATGCGTAGATAGTCTCTGCAAAGGTCTTGTTATTCAAACTTGTACGCATTGCGCATTGTTGCAATCACGGTGTGTGGAACGACGGGATGTTTCCTTCTGCCGCAATCACTTACCACCCATAAACAAATTCCGGGGGGGGGGAAGACCAAACGTTGGAACCCCTACGCAATTTTGCTCTGGTAGGTAAACTGGAGGGGTGAAATCCCTTTCCACGATAATTAATGTTTTCACAGTGCAACCGACAGAACAGTGTATCTCTGGCTCAGCGGTAGAGCGTCAAATCTGATAACCGAGGCGTCCGGACTCGAATCGCAAGTTAACAAAACCTGCAGCTAAGTCTCCCTTTTCTTTGTTAGTATTCTCCTTCCCGCGCATATGCGGCTTCCTGCGAGGACCCTACATTGGACCCCACGACGTGAAGAGCGTGTCATGTAATCCCCCTCAGTGAATACCATTCACACGATGCTGAATATTCCCGATGACAAACGATAAAACACCAGGCTCCGGACATAATGGAGAACTTCAGCGTAAAAAGCTAAATGGTCACAAATTCCTCGTTCTAACTTCAAATCATCTGAACCAGGGGATCTTTGGGCTGGCTGAGGACGTCTAATAAGCCAGAAATGGTCATTTAAGCTTCCCTCATCTTTGTCGATACTCCTTTCAGAAGCTTTGCCGTTAAAGAGGCCAGATAAGTTTAAAATAATTCTGACCCGGTACAACTCTACCCACGTCCATCTCGCCTTCTGCCTAACTCGTAGGCCGTACAGACTACCCAAGTCCCAGGATAGTCTCCGTTTGCATAGAAGTTCGAAGTTCAACCGTAAGTTCACGTGCCTAATCTCGGTAGGAGTCATCAGGATGCATCATGACTATAGGTAACAATAGCTCTTTGTGAGAACCGGACTTGGTATGCGACTTTTGTGTCCTGATTCGTGACTTATCCGTGAACTACTCTTGCCGGCTTGAAGCCTACACCTGCGCCTGAACCGTTCATTATCGGCTTTTCGCGCTCGTGTGGACGTCCCGTCTGGATGTGCTAACGAACCCTGGTGAGGTGTTAATAGCACACACGTGCGAGCTTGTGCCAGCCTCGCTCGATCCACACACGCGGCCTCGTACGCACAGAAGCGGGATGGAGTGGCGCTGTTGCATAGCCTTCTCCCTAACCATCACCGTGGCCGGTGGGATGGGT